TATTTAAACATATAATGTGCACCATTTCTATAAAGAAGGTAGAAATCGGGGTGCCTGAGTGGCTCAGTCGGTTAAGCGTTTGACTTCGGCTCAGGTCATGATCTCACGGTTCGTGGGTTCGAGCCCCGCATCAGGCTCTGTGCTGACAGCTAGCTCAGAGCCTGGAGCCTGCTTCAGATTCTGTGTCTCCCTCTCTCTCTGACCCTCCCCTGCTCACTCTGTCTCTCTCTCTCAGAAATAAATAAAACATTAAAAAAAAGAAGAAGAAGAAAAAAGAAGGTAGAAATCATGAGCAGCTTCAAGGTATGGGCTAACTGGTGCGGCATTTTCAGCTTGGGGCTTAGAGTATACTGGGTACACAGGGCTCAGTGTCTGTTGGTTACTGATTTTATTAGAAGGGTCAGATGTCCTCTAGAGGGAATATTTGTCTAATGAGATGGTTTTGTTTTATGACTTACATATGTTAATAAGTATCTCTTCCATGAGTTTACCCCAGAGTAGTGATTTCTGCCTCTGTCTTGTGTTGTGGTTATTTGGTGGAACTGATGACATGTTGCTGTTGTGGCCCTACCTGGAGAGATTGCTTTCCTTGCTCTATAGGTTAAGTTTCCTGAGCAGCCTGCATTGAGAACCTTAGGCCTAGTGGAGCATCTTCTTTGATGAATTTTAGAATGAAAACTATTTTTTAAGACAGTATGTTTGCAGCAAAATTAAATATATATATTTCAGGCAGGTGCTAAAAAATTTTTTAAAAATGTATAAAATAATATAACCCATCTGTTATCTTTAAAAGAGAGCCATTGTTTTGTGTTTGTGTGTTTTTCTGTGTGTATACAAACATTTTCTCGGCAAATAGGATCCCATGGTATGTATGATCCTTTGACTTGTTTTCGCTCAGCCAATATATCTTAAACATAGAGAGAAAACCATTTCGCATAAATAATTTTGCCCAAGGATTCAAAACAAAAGCACAGAAGATAATTTTGAGCAACTTGGCAACCGAGGCTGATGAGAGATACAGATTGGGAGCAGGGCTATTTCTAGTATTGTTTGGAGGCCGGGACACATCACAGCTCTCCTGCAACAAACACAGTGCGACAATCTAGGCACAACTCGTCTAGGCTGAAGCTCGTGGACAGCCCTGACTAGGAAACAGAACGAGAGGACTTCAGGAGGTGTGCCCAGGAAGAAGGAATATATCCTTCCAGTGAATTAAGGTGATTGTGTGGATGACATGCTTCAGAGTTTTCTGTTTTGTGCATTGTAGTTTTAAAATTTTGTTTAGCATCTTGCTTAGCACTAGCCAAGGCTCCCTCTGGCATCCTCTTTTCCATCTTGCTCTCTTGCTAGAAGGTTGGATGCAGTGGGATACGGCCAACAGGGAACTGCAGGCCCGTGGATGTCTGCATTAGCTGTATGACCGAGGCAGTTTAAGAAAAGGTGGTGATATTCTACGCCTAACCTCTTAGTACGTGTCCTTCCTCTAGGCCTCATGGACATCTGTTCTTGCTCTGCTCTGAGGGTCCTGCAGTTCTCTTCACCTGAACTAGCCCGGTAGGTTTCCTCAGTTTGCCAGTAGTGAGCAGGGGCCTTAGACAGATTGCTTTATGCAGAGTGGATCAAGATCTTCAGATAGGCCTGTCCACCTACCAGGTCGTGTGCATCCAGCAGGGAATTTACAAGAAGAGTCGTAACGTGAAACCTAGCTTAGCTGTAGATATTTTCAGTGGTGTTCAGTTTTTTCCACAGTGGATAATAGGATTTTTAATAAAGAGTGAGAAACTTGAAACTAAATTGGAGTTCATATAGTTTGTGCTCAGTCTGCTGTAGCGATAGCTCTGGACGGGTCACTAGGGGACCATCTGAGCATGTCTTTTAGTTGTACAGTGTCTTTGGTATCTTGGGGCTTTATAGAACGTTAAAATTTACATTTCCCAGTGATTAGGTAAATTTATCGTTGAGGCCAAGAACTGTATAGTCACTAGGCAAACAACATGACTTGTAATGTCAAATAATCCCTCACTCGTGCTGTTAAATATAGTCAGGACATTTTTCATTCTGTTTGTATGTCAAGGACCACACAGATCTGGTACCCTCTCTGAAGCGGGCTTGGGGTCCGAGGTTGATTGTTGACTCCTGTTGGAGATCGTGTGCCTGTTGCTGTTGAACTTTCCTTGTCTCTGAGCGCCCCTGATGAAAATGCCCCGCTCCGTATGATCATTCCCTCCTATTCCCACTTTATTAGGTTCACTTTGGAAAATTTCATCTTTTAAAATGGAAGTATCTTCTGAGCAGGTGAAGCCGTTGTGTCCTTAATGCGTTTATTATCAGTTGAAGCCATTTGCTTGATAGTGACAGCATGGAAACACAGTTTCCCTGAAAGCTGGCGGAGAGAACGCTTAAAAGGCAGGCTTGTCTAGTTTTCCTAAGTGACCAGCATCTGTCCCCCGTGCCGTTGAGAAAGAAGGTTGCCCAGCACTTTACCACACACTGGAAAATACATCTGCTGTCTCTTCCTCCAAACGGTTTCACATTCTCTGAGTCCATTCTGGGTGTTGATTCTTAAGCATTTGGGAAGGTGGAAACGATTGTGTTTTTAAAATCTGTTTTCTTTGTATCCTCCTTTTTTAAAAAAAAATTAAACTTTTTACTTTGAGAAAATGATAGATTCACATGCATTTGTAAGAAATAATATGGAGAGAACCCACGTGCCCTTTAACCAGTTTACGCAATGGTGACATCTTGGCAAACCACTGTGTAATTTCAAAACCATGATACTGACATTGATCCATCAACCTTACTCACATTTCACCAGGATTACCTGTATACGTGTACTTATTTATGCATGTGTGTTACTTGTTTTTGTACAGCTTTATCACTTGGGTATGTATCCATCACTACAGTCAAAATATAGAAGAGTTCCATTGCCACAAAGGTCCCTAGTATTAGCTTCTTACATCCACAACTTCCTTCCTTAACAACCTTTTTGCTGATTTCTAAATGCCTGGTCATTTGTGGTCATGACTTAAAATAATTATCTTTTAAATTTATAGCCACACTTAAAAATTTTATTTAGTTTTTTAGTGTGGTGAAAAACACATAAAATTTAATCATCTCCGCTACTTTAAGTGTACACCCGAGTCCTGTTCCCTACATTCACCTCGACATGTAACAGATCTTCATATCTTTTTCACCTCACAAAACTGCAACTCTGTACCCCTTAAATAGCAACTCCCCATTTCCCTCTAACCCTAGCCGCTGGCAATACCCATCTTCTGTTTTCCATCTCCATGAATTTGACTCCTTTAGAACCTTGTGTAAATGGAATCAACCATACAGTATTTATCTTTTTGTGACTGGCTTTACTCCGCATGAAGGCCTCCAGGTCCATCCCTGTTGTGGGTGGGTCCAGATTACTTTCCTTTTTAAGGCTGAATAACCCTCCATTGCGTGTGCAGCCTGTGGTTAATCATTCATTCATTCATTCGTTGGTGGACGTTCCAGCTGCTGCCACTTCCTGGCTGTTGTGCATGGCGCTGCTCTGAACATGGGTGTGACCCTGCTTTTGATTCTTTTGGATACACACCCAGAAGTGGAATTACTGGGCCATATGGTAGTTCTTTTTTAAATTTTGGCGGGAACTTCCGAACTTTTCCATAGCAGCTGCGCCATTTTACATTCCCGTCAACACCCTGCTTGTCTGTACTTTAATGATGCTGGGATAAACGTGTTTTAATACTTCCATTTTTGTCCTCTATTTCATGACTATTTTATCGGCCTTTCTTTCACACTGGATAGAGAGTGAATACTAGCACAAGTAGCAGATGCTTTGCATTATAGAATGTTTGCATACCGCAGATGCTCCTCAAGGTGACATCCAAACATTCTGAGGTCTGCTCTTTCCAGTACAAGTAACAGAAACCCTACCTGAGCTACCTTAAATAAAAAGGGATTTGATTACAAGGAAACTGGGGTGCTATGTTGAATCTAAGGGTGGTGAGATGGCAGGCCTTCGAAATCACTGGAACGAGGGACTTGGTTGTCTCTTGTCTTTGAGGGATCTGTTTTTCTTTCGTCCCGTATGGCAGCTTTCCTCATGTGCTGAGGAAGTGGCTCTTCACCAAACCTTTGACCACCCAAGGACGGAGGTGCTCCCCTGGTCCCAACCCAGAATTCCCAGGGGGAAAGGAGTGATTGGCCCAGCTTGGACCAGTTGTCTGCCCTGATATACCTCATGATAGGCTTGACTGGGGAGATGGGGTCAATGCAAGGATTGGGCAAAACCTTCAGGAGCTGTATGAATTGACTGGGAGGTGGCAGGTAGCCAGAAAGAAAGGGAATGGGCAGAGAGACAGAATGAAAGGTGTGCTTATCAACTGTAACCTAAAACGGACAGCAACTGAGGACACATTGACGAAAGAGCAATGGGACTTGGAAAGGTCTGGGTAAGGACCATTAAAATGATCTGAGGCAAAGAATTAAAAAAAAAAAAAAAATCCAAGTGATTTCTTTAGTTGAGAGCCAAGAGGGGAATTGCCTGAAATTCTTAAAATCATAAAAGATCATTGACTGATATCTGGAACAATTTGAATTAAGGAGTAGATTTCAGAAATGTCTTAACACTGTTATTTAGTGTAGAACATCAAAAATGACATGTCAAACAGCAATTCGTTAACTTTATTCCAAGAGATCTGCAAATATATTAGGGGTTCGTCAGACACATTGATGGATTATAGCTCTGTGACGGAGACGTTTAGAGGAAACTAGAATGTAGCTTTAACCTTCTGAAGTCCTGGAACTATTTCCCCAGCGAGCATCAGTGATGATAAGTGCTAAAGAGTAGTTATATTAGTATTTAGTACTACCACGTATGTACTGGGCAGTTTTATACGTGCTGCCTCACTTAACCTTCCTTCAAACCGTGGGGGCTCACTGTTGGTGAAACCGAATTTTCCCAGATGTTTTCGACACCATTATTAACACTCTGCTTTTCCTTTCAGAGATGTGGTACTGGATCTTTCTCTGGGCTCTCTTCTCCTCTCTGTTTGTCCACGGTGCCGCGGGAGTGTTGATGTTTGTGATGCTGCAGAGACATAGGCAGGGGAGAGTCATCTCGGTCATTGCCGTCAGCCTAGGGTTTCTGGCGTCTGTAACTGGAGCAATGATCACTAGTAAGTTGATTTTGTTTTGTTCACGGACCTAATTGTGTGTGCACCTAACGGTTCCAGTAACTCTGTTCTTACGATGCATGTGACATTAGCGTAAATCTTCCGTGTGGACCATTTTCAGCACGGATCGTGCTTCTCCTGGAAGGTAACCATCAGTTCATTGGTTCATTGATTCATCGAACAGACAGTTGTTTGTGCTTCCGGGTGAAGACCGTTATGCAAGGTTTGCTGGGATCCAGAAAAACTTGTAAACATTGGCAAGGGGAAAAGAAGGTCATGGGAAAATTTCTTGCCCAGCGGATATAGTTTTTGCTTTAAAGGAACGCCTGGCTCCCTGCTGCCACGAGAGAAGCATCTACCTTTCTGGTTGGTTCTTAGCCCCCGCGATAAGAGTAAGTCCTTCTGTAGTTCAGACGCCTCCTTTTGTGTTGCACCATCACCTGTTCCCACAGTGACTGCACACCTCGCCCTGGGTGGAGGGCTCTGTTCCCATGTCTGGGCATCTGTCCTGTGGCACTAATAGGGCAGTGACGACATCGTTGTTTTCTCGCCCATTCTTCATTTACTGTCTGGCTTGTCTGTGTTGTTCTGTAGTAGGTTTTCGTTGTTGCCGCCGTGGCCTGGAACTTTATCATACGGCGTCTCATCTGTTTTGCCACAGAGAGGCCTTATTTTTATTAAAAGATTTTTTTAATGTTTATTTATTTTTGAGAGAGAGAGAGGGAGAGCATGTGCGGGAGAGGGCAGGAAAGAAGGAGACAGAGGATCCGAAGCAGACTCTGCACAGTGACCACAGAGCCTGACGTGGGGCTCAAACTCATGATCTGTTTGAGCGCAGCTGGACACTTAACCGGCTGAGCCACTCGGGCACCCCTGCCACAGAGAAGCTTTAAAACAAGTACTCCAGGGGGCGCCAGGGTGACTCAGTTGGTTAAGTGTCCTACTTCAGCTAAGGTCATAATCTCACAGTTCATGAGTTCAGGCCCCGCGTCGGGTTCTGTGCTGACAGCTCAGAGCCTGGAACCTGGTTGGGATTCTGTGTCTCCCTCTCTCTCTGCCCCTCCCCCACTCATGCTTTGTCTTCCTGTTTCTCTCAAAAATAAATAAACATTTTATTTTATTTTTTAAAATGTTTTTTTTTTTTTTTTAAATTTATTTCTAGGAGAGAGAGAGAGAGACAGCGTGAGCAGGGGAGGGTCAGAGAGAGAGGGAGTCACAGACTGAAACAGGCTCCAGGCTCTGAGCTGGCAGTCAGCACAGAGCCCGACGCGGGGCTTGAACCCACGAACCACGAGATCATGACCTAAGCGAAAGTCGGACGCCCAACCGACCAAGCCACCCAGGCGCCCCAACATTTTAAAAAGTAATGAAATCAAGTAGTCGGTTTAGCTGAAGCTCCGGATATGCATAGTAAAGGACTAGAGAGTCAGCTGGAGAGACTGAGTAGAGCCAAATCCTATAGGGTCTTGGAAGACAAGCCAGAAAATTTGGGCCTTTTTTCCTGCAGGCCATGGAAAACAAGTAAGAGAGTCTTGAATGGGGCTGGCAAGGGACAAAGCAGTCCTGTGGACAATTTTGTTTTAATGGGTGAATACAGATAAGTGTAAAGGACCGAGAGAATACTCTGAAAGCACCTTCAGCACATCACAAGGAAAGGGTATCTGAATCATAATCGATACTCAGAAAATACTGGTTGGGGGCATAGGGGAGGAACCGCAGAGGGAGGAAGGGAGAAACAAGGGGAAGGAAGAGGGATGGAGAGGCATTGACTCTGATCTGAACTGGAGCCCGGGATCTAACTAGAGCAGTAGTTGCGGTTGGAGATGACGTATGGACAACAGCAAAGGGAAGAAATCCGAGTGAGTTGTGGTGGCACACAGAGGGGCTTGGGAGGGACTGCCAGTGTTTTCTGATGTGCGTCACTGTGATAACTGTGGGCCCACGAACAGAGGAGGGAAGAAGGAATAGCTTGTTCAGAAGTTGTATGTAGTATGTGCATGCATGTGTGTTTATTGGCACAAATTGCTGTAAAAGTTCAGAGAGCAGAAGTGTCATCTACTTCCGTTTCCATCTAACGATGCCTCTGTATATATTTTACCAAGAATTAGCCAGTGGTTTTAGAGACTGGGGCCTTATATTTTATATCCTTAAAAATATAAATAGTCTGACATAATTTCAAGTAAAGATTCCAAGTAGGCAGTAAAACATTTAAATTTCTTCTGGCCAGTCTCTTGACCTGGAGATACTTGAAGTAAGAAAACTAGCCCAAACATCAATATTTTAAATATATTTATGTTCCCCACGCAGTTTGTGTCTGTGCACTCATTCGCTGTATATTCAGGTCTGCAGGTGACTGCTTAATATCTATTCTGAATAAGAAAGTTGGCTGAATATAGGTACACATCTACTAAATTTTGCTGCTTCTTAGATTTTATTCCGAATACAGTGATCTTCCATTTTAGTTGGTATTTTTTTAATGTTTATTTATTTTTGAGAGAGAGAGGGAGAGCAGCAGAATGCAAACAGGGGAGGGGCAGAGAGAGAGGGAGACACAGAATCCGAAGCAGGCTCCAGGCTCCAAGCCGTCAGCACAGAGCCCTGTGGGGCTCGAACCCACGAACTGTGAGATCATGATTTGAGCTGAAGTGGGACGCCTAACCGACTGAGCCATCCACGTGTCCCTCATTTTAGTTGGGGTCAGTAGTACCAGCATTGGGAGAGACTGCGTTTCCATATAATGCCATCAGCAGGCAGTGGAGAGCTGACTAATTTTAGCAAATCTGAAGGTATAAAGTGACATCTCTTCGTTGGTTTAATTTGCATTTCTCTGATCACTGATGAGCTTGAACTTCTATTCTCATGCTTATTATATATTTCAATTTCTTTTCCTGCAGATTGCTTCCTTAAATTATGTGTTTACTTTTCTTCTGGGGTTCTTATTTCCCTCTTATTAAACTACAGGGGTTTCTTAGACACTTGAGATACTGGTCCCTTGTTGGTTTTGGACTTTGCAAGGAACTTATCAGTCCTTTATCAGTGACCTTCCTCTAGAATCCTTAATTTCCATGTGATCAGCTCAAAGAAGTGTTTTGCCTTATGGTTTATAATTTAAGTTACGAAGTTCTCTCCCACATCAAGGTCAAGAGACATGCTGGTATGTTTTCTAATGTTAATTTTATAGTTTTGCCTTTCATATAAAGATCTTCACTTCATCTAGGAGTCAGTAAACATTTTCTTAAAGTGCTAGATAAGAAATATATTTTTAATGTTTGCTTGTTAATTAATTTATTCATTTGGAGCACCTGAGAGCAGGGGTGGGGCAGAGGGAGAGGAGGAGAGAGAGAATCCCAAGAAGATTCTACCTGTCAGCCGATGCGGGGGTTGAACTCACGAACTGTGAGATCATGACCTGAGCTGAAATCAAAAGTCAGATGCTTAACTGACTGAGCCACCCAGGAGCCCCTGGATAGGAAATATTAAACTTTGCAAGCCAGGTGGTGTCTGTCACAGCTCTTCAACTCTGCCATTGCAGTGTGAGAACAGGTATAGATGTGTGTAAAGGAATAGGCGTGGCTTTTTCCAATAAAACTTTATTGACAAAAACAGGTGTCTGGCATTCAGACATAATTTCACAATTTCATAAATTCCCGATTTGGGCCCTGATGAGTCTCATTTTGTATTTGATATTAGATAGCATTCCAGGTATCTCCCCCTACATAGTAAGTCTGTTTTTACCACACCATCCACTTAAAAAAAATGCATCATTTCCTCTTTGATTCACCTTATTTGCATATTATGTTCAAGGTACAAGGGTCTGTCTCTGAACCCTGTTCTGATATTTGAGTCTTTTTGTGTGTTCCTGCAGCAAGGTCACATTTTCTTCATTCCTATGGCTTTGTGGTATTTCTTAGTACCTGGTAGGGGTAGATCCCTCTCACTTCTTTTCCTTCTCAAAGTTGGCGTAGCTATTTATGGGCTTTTATTCTTTCATATAAATTTTAGAATATGTCTACTCAGTTTCTCGAAAAAATCAGCATAACTGATTTTTATTGGGATTTAATTGAATGGAGAGGTTCATTTGGGAAGAACTGGCATATTAAACTGTTCTACCCAACAGCATGTAAGAGATTTCCATTTATTTGGGTCATCTTCTAGTCTTTTGTTAGAGTTTAAAAATGTTTTTCTCGATAAGAGGGTTGAATACTTTTGGTTAAGTTACTTCTCCAACTCTTATGTTATGGTAGTTGTGCATGGTATCTTTTGAGGACTTTGCTTTGTTTTATTGGTATAGAGAAATACGTTCAGTTTTCCTTTTTTTAAAAAAAATTTTTAATAAATCTAAATTGAGAGAGAGAGACAGAGTGTGAGCAGGGAGGGGCAGAGAGAGAGAGAGGGAGACCCAGAATCCGAAGCAGGCTCCAGGCTCTGAGCTGTCAGCACAGAGCCCGATGTGGGGCTCAAACTCAAAGACCACTGAGATTGTGACCTGTGCCTAAGTCAGATGTTTAACTGACTGAGCCACCCAGGCGCCCCAACAGTGTTCAGTTTTCTGAATTGACTGAAAGATTAACAAAGCAAAAAACTGGTTCTTTAGAACAATACTAAGATGAGTAGATTTCTGGCAAACTAATTTTAAAAAGTTTAAGGCAGAAAAGTAAAATATAGAACAAAATAGGATAAATAACTATAGACTCAATAATATAGAAAAAAGAGATATAAAAATAACAGTTTTTTGAACAGCGATATATTCCTAAATATAAAATGTCAAAATTGGCATAAGAAGAAACAAAGTATGAATGGGACAATCAGTATATTTAAACAGTTGAAATGTTGAAAACTCTCCTCCCAAAGGAACTACGGGCTCACCTGGGGCTTATGGAGGAGTTCTACCAAATTTTGAAGGAACAGTTTAGTTCCTGTTTTATCCAAATTATTGAGGAAACGGAAAGAGCATAAGCTGTGCATAGCATATTTGCTGAGGCCAGAGTAATCTTGGTAAGCGG